TATGATTCCAGTATGTTCAGAATGAAAACATGATTCCAGTATGTTCAGAATGAGTTCATAATTCCAGTATGTTTAGAATGAAAACATGATTCCAGTATGTTTAGAATGAAAACACAATTCCAGTATGTTTTGAATGAAAACATGATTCCAGTATGTTTAGAGTGAAAACATAATTTCAGTATGTTTAGAATGAGATAATGATTCCAGTATGTTTAGGGTGAAAACATAATTACAGTATGTTTAGAATGAGATAATGATTCAAGTATGTTAAGACTGAAAACATGATTCCAGTATGTTCAGAATGAAAACAATTTTCCAGTATGTTTAGAATAAAAACATAATTCCAGTATGTTTTGAATGAAAACATGATTCCAGTATGTTTAGAGTGAAAACATAATTCCAATATGTTTAGAATGAAAACATAATTTCAGTATGTTTAGAATGAGATCATGATTCCTGTATGTTAAGGCTGAAAACATGATTCCAGTATGTTCAGAATAAAAGCATGATTCCAGTATGTTAAGAATTAAACTTGATTCTAGTATGTTAAGGATGAAAACATGATTCCAGTATGATTAGAATGAAATCATGATTTCAGTATTTTAAGGATGAAAGCGTGATTCCAGTATGATTAGAATGAAAACATGATTCCAGTATGTTCAGGATGAAAACATGATTCCAGTATGTTTAGAAAGAAAACATGATTCCAGTATGTTCAGGATGAAAACATGATTCCAGTATGTTCAGGATGAAAACATGATTCCAGTATGTTCAGAATGAAAACATGATTCCAGTATGTTTTCAATGAAATCATGATTCCAGTATGTTAAGGATGAAAGCGTGATTCCAGTATGTTTAGAATGAAAACATGATTCCAGTATGTTTAGAATGAAAACATAATTCCAGTATGTTTTGAATGAAAACATGATTCCAGTATGTTTAGAATGAAAACATAATTCCAGTATGTTTTGAATGAAAACATGATTCCAGTATGTTTAGGGTGAAAACATAATTTCAGTATGTTTAGAATGAGATAATGATTCCAGTATGTTAAGGTTGAAAACATGATTTCAGTATGTTCAGAATGAAAACATGATTCCAGTATGTTTAGAATAAAAACATAATTCCAGTATGTTTTGAATGAAAACATGATTCCAGTATGTTTAGAGTGAAAACATAATTCCAACATGTTTAGAATGAAAACATAATTTCAGTATGTTTAGAATGAGATAATGATTCCTGTATGTTAAGGCTGAAAACATGATTCCAGTATGTTTAGAATAAAAACATGATTCCAGTATGTTAAGAATAAAATCATGATTTCAGTATTTTAATGATGAAAGCGTGATTCCAGTATGATTAGAATGAAAACATGATTCCAGTATGTTTAGAAAGAAAACATGATTCCAGTATGTTCAGGATGAAAACATGATTCCAGTATGTTCAGGATGAAAACATGATTCCAGTATGTTTACAATGAAATCATGATTCCAGTATGTTAAGGATGAAAGCATGATTCCATTATGTTTAGAATGAAAACATGATTCCAGTATGTTTAGATTGAAAACATGATTCCAGTATGTTTTGAATGAGATCATGATTCCAGTGTGTTTAGAATGAAAACATGATCCCAGTATGTTTAAAATGAAAACACGATTCAAGTATGATTAGAATGAAAACATGATTCCAGTATGTTTAAAATGGAATCATGATTCCAGTATGTTTAGAATGAAAACATGATTCATGTATGATTAGAATTAAACATGATTCCAGTATGTTCAGGATGAAAACATGATTCCAGGGATGTTAAAAGTTAAAACAATATAGTTCAATGATGATTATTTGAATGTGTTGTCGTTCATAATCAGTTAGTCATTTTTGTTGAAGCAGGTTTTTTTTTTTGGGGGGGGGGGGCTAAGTTGACAAACATAATTAAAGGGTCAACATTACTAGATTGCCCTTGTTTTTTTTTCTTCACCAGGTAACCAGGGAAACACATCGTTATCTTCAACAAGTTGAAATGAGGGAAGAAGGAGGAACTCCTGATATAGTTGGATCCATCAGAGCAGGTCTAGTGTTTCAACTCAAAGAGGTACATGTATGCCACACAAAGTCATGTTTGAATGTGTTTACCCCAGGAAGCAAACACTGCATGTTGTGTTTTTAATTTATTATAATTCATACCCAGCTTATTTACAGGCTGTTGGAGCTGACGTTATAATGAAAAGAGAGAGTATACTGTGTAGGTATGTATCATGTCAATCTTCATAAACATAAATACTATTGGGGGAATACTCACTGGGTTTAAAAGAGTTTGTCAAAATCATAACATATAAATAATCTTACAAATAAAAGAACTGATGAATCGTAGAATGTAGTACAACAGATCAAATGAGGACGATGTTTACAAACAATAAGACTTTTACATCCAAAGTAGTTTACCAGCTGAACAGTTAAAGCCCTGGAAAATAACTTTCAATGTCACAACAGTTATTAATACATACATACTGTCGCTATTTTAAATTTTTATTTACTCATTTGTTTGTTCAAATGAAACCATCAGTGTTAATATAAAAATCACTGGTCGCAGTGCAGCACATACATTAAAATGTCATGTAAATTAACAAATATTTCATGCGAGTTTTATCCATCACGTGGGACCCATAGTTGATACATTGTGTTGTTGTCATTCACAATATAAATGTTCGATTTGATTGGTTGCGACTTCCATCCCTACCATTCTTATTGAACTTGGCTTGTTAAAAGGGACTTTTGAAAATGTGTTTGTTTGTAGGAAAGCACTTGACTCTTGGAAAACCGCCTCCAACTTGATTATTCTTGGTAATGTTGATGTGCCTCGATTACCTGTCTTCTCTTTTCTAATCCGCCACCCTACAACAGGGCAATATTTACATCATAATTTCATCTGTGCCATACTTAATGATGTCTTCGGAGTCCAGGCAAGAGGTGGATGTGCATGTGCTGGTCCTTATGCACAGGTATTGCAACATTTATATATCTAATAAGTCAATGCATGCTTGTGTTTTACATGTATCGCTATGGTGTGAATTGTCATTGAGTGGGACTCTCCATGTATGTAATACACAGTTAAAAGTAATATGCTAGTTGCATTGTGTTTTATTAGAATTTGTTTTTTACTTTATTAAGGTGATGATTTAATTGTGAAATTAAAACTCAATGTGCAATTTATGTATTTATAGTATCAGGCGTTAAAAAGTGTGAGATCGCAGACAAATAAATTTTGTTACCAAGCTACTAACTTTAAAATTATGATAGACCCTTGAAAATTTCATTGGATCATCAGATTTACCATGAATGTTGTGTTAATATGTTCTTTTGAAATTTACCAAATTGCCGTAAAAGATAATTGTGCAAGTTAACAAACATTGCTTCCTCTTTAAGTAAAGCAATCACATTTAAGCATTCCAAATGATGTCGGGATACGTAAAGTCATTCTTGTATGGTACAGCAAGACTTTCACTTCTTTGCATATGTCACAAAATGTTTGGGGAAATAAAAAAAAAAAATGTGAGGCCTGATAAAGAGCCGTGTGATCAAGGAATTTTACTTGCCACCATCATCTGGACAATGATGTGTATAATAAGAGCACTCATGCCAAGTACAATCACTATACATTTACTTGATGTCCAGTGAAAGTGCAAGTAAATTTTATTTTTCACTAATTCACTGTCTGTAAATTATACCATGATTACATACATTTCTAGGGATACACTTCTGAATAAATATTGTAATTGAAAGTGTGATATATCTTTGCTCAAGGTTTGAGGGTGCCATATATGAAAATTGTATCATAACTCAAAACATTCTTAAAATACTTTTATTTTTGCCTAGGACTTACTTGGGATTGATGAGGATTTATCATTGAAAATTGAAGCTCTGTTATTAGAGAACAGGTAACTACAGTGATCTAAAATATATTTTGTCTTATATTTGTGTTTTTTTATTGCAGTATTTTGCTGTGAAATATTAACTCAGAAAAACAATACAGAATTCAGGACTGAGTGATATGGAATGGAAATATTGAATTACTTGGGGGGGGGGTCCTTTGATTACCTACTAGACATTGCCAGGTTGAGCAAAATCAGACATGTGGTAGAGTGGGTGTTTTGCCCAATTGTTTGTATGTAGAAATATATACATGTACATGTATATTGTCTGTGACAGGTGTGGTTGGAGTAAATAAATTTATAATGGTTCAACAAACACACTAGAACTAGGATACTGTATGCCATACTGAATTGAGTATATTTCAATCACAAATTCAGTGCTACACAATGTAGTACAGTTCCAATACTTTAATAAGAACTGAGTAACTAAATTAATAATGTTGATCTAAATATGAAGTCAGGTAATTGTCTATCTTCTAACGTATGCAACATGATGGCTACTAAAAAAATTGCAGCCTATTCCTACATGGAATTGTAATCATATTCATTTAAGGTTAGACATGGCTAGACTTTTGATACAGGAATTTCTTGAAATGTTACCAAGTTACTCTCTGTGACTGCATGCATGGCTTTTTTGAAAGTCTGAAGAACAAAAAATAGAAGAACAGTAGCTTTCAAATTATTAAATTTTTAATGCAATGAAAACAATAACCAAAATAATCTTTTCATCTTCAAATTTGGGAATCTTATTAATCGCTGTGAAAGGTCAACCAAGTTTAATTTTGGTGTTCCTAGCAATTTTCATGATGGAGTAAAATTTGATTAAAATAAACCTTTTTAGAAAAATGAAGACATTTATACTGGTTAGAATTCAAACCAGATGTTAGTAATATTCTCTCCAAAATTTGTCAATTAGATACGTGTTTTAAACTGATATATTCTGATGAGTGTAAATCCAAAAAATTCAGTGTTTACCACTTTCTCAAATCTGACTAGTATTTTATTTTGCTTTAATATATTATTCCACTATTATTTGGGTACTTTTTTACAATTTGATAAAATATGATGATGACCTATTATTTTTAGGAACTTTTATACCATTCATGTTGTATTATCCTATTATCCTATACATTGAGATTAATACAGTACATGTAGTATTATTTGAGAAACATGATTATTAATTCACTTTTCTTAAAATGTAAATATGATTTGTTTAGCAAGTACTGTAAAATGACTAATTTTCACTGGGTTTACTATTTCAGGCTTATTTAGTGAGTGGGTTTTAAATTCACGGTTTTAACTTTTAGATAATGTGTTCTATGCTAAATTTTACATATTCACTGGGTTTTAATTTAGCGCATTTTTTAGTCAGCGAATTAAGCAAAATTAAAACCCAGTGAATAATAATTAGCCCGTTTACAGTACTTTTCACACAAAGTGCTTAAATAATTATTGCATTATTTGAAGACTTTTACACACACTCTTGACATGAAAATAAAGATATTGTATCCTTAGTTTGTTATCCATGCACAATAGTTTTACTTAATCTTGGTTTTCAACGGACAAGGTTGTAAAAGTTACATTATTTTTACTAATTAACCGTCAGTTGTAGTTACATGTAAAAGTTCATGTGGTGGAAATATTTTTATTTTGCAGCCGTCTGGATCGTATTCACTTACGAAGATATCATGAATATTCAGAGAGAGAAATCCTGAGGTAAATGACATTTATGAAATAATATTAATTGCGAATTTGAAATCCCTTCATTCCAGTTCCCAAAATATCATAATACTAGAAGAAACTGCTCTGACATGTATAGACGTCTTTTAAGGCAATATTTATCTGATAAGTGGCAGACAGATATAAAACTGATGAAATTTTTTACTGTGGAGTTTAGAATTAATAATTCACAAAAATAAAAAACATAATATTGAGCTGACACAGTTAGTGGTTAAAAAATGTGTAGTAAATTATATTTGAAACAGTCAATGACTGCAACGCACTGTGTGAAATTGCAGTTCCATGTTTGTATCAAAGCAATCGGGCTGAAAGGTTTTAAGTGAAAAATCAAGAGATTCTATTTTATTTATTCATTGATTAATAAATAAATTGGATAAATTGAGATATAGACAGTTAGGGACTTGTTGCATCAAATTGAATTCTTAAACTGTAAAATACTTTATTTTTGCTGAAGGGATGATTCAGTAAAAATAAAATCCAGCAAATACTGTAGAATACTTTATTTTCGCTGGAATTAATTTTCGCTGAAAAGGCTTTTCGGGCATTTTGTATGGAATTTATTTTCACTGATTTTTGATGAGTTTAATGTAAAATATAGTAAAAAAAGTATATTCGCTGAATTTTATTTTCACGGAATCATCCCTTCAGCGAAAATAGCGAAAATAAATTCCAAGCGAAAATAAAGTATTCTACAGTATACCTTTTTGTCTGAAAATAAAATCCATTTAATTAGATCTGATATTCAATTGTATTCATGCACCCTTAGATATTTTAATCCCATTCTGTTCAATTTTCAGGCCTGGGTTTGCCCGTCTGAACTTACCTTACTTCATGTCAGATGAATGTGTAGACTTCATTATCAAAGCTGTTGCCATGGTTGCAGAACATGGCTGGAAGCTTCTACCACAGGTATACATGATAATAATGTTTCATTTTTTTTTGTGTGTGTCATAGTTAGAGAATACAGTTCCCTATCACCTAAAGTTGAACTTTGAACACAATTTGACATCAGTGTTTGACTGTTTTTAAGGCTTTGAGGCTATAGGCAAACTTTTCATGAAACATGTACATTATAACAACTCAAAACATAACATTATTATTAAAGGTAATACACTGTACACTTAGTGTAACAAATTCTTTGGAGGACATATAATTAACTTTTTATAGTGAAGTGTTCACTATAATGAAGCACATAATACATTGGGTTTGTTATAGTGAAGTGTTCACCATAATGAAGCACATAAAACATTGGGTTTGTTATAGTGACGTGTTCACTATAATGAAGCACACAAAACATTGGGTTTGTTATAGTGAAGTGTTCACCATAATGAAGCACATAAAACATTGGGTTTGTTATAGTGACGTGTTCACTATAATGAAGCACATAAAACATTGGGTTTGTTATAGTGAAGTGTTCACTATAATGAAGCACATAATACATTGGGTTTGTTATAGTGACGTGTTCACTATAATGAAGCACATAATACATTGAGTTTGTTATAGTGAAGTGTTCACCATAATGAAGCACATAAAACATTGAGTTTGTTATAGTGAAGTGTTCACCATAATGAAGCACATAATACATTGAGTTTGTTATAGTGAAGTGTTCACTATAATGAAGCACATAATACATTGGGTTTGTTATAGTGAAGTGTTCACTATAATGAAGCACATAATACATTGGGTTTGTTATAGTGAAGTGTTCACTATAATGAAGCACATAATACATTGGGTTTGTTATACAAGGGAAAGATTTACATGATAGGAGAATATACAAATTTTAATTATGTGAATATATTCAAATTAGCTCCGGCACAAAATCTCGAATAAATTGAAATACCGGCCTAGTCCTAGCAGTAAATCCTGTACAAATTACAATATTGGCTCAGCCCCGGCACTAAATCCTCCACAAATTTCAATATTGACCCAGCTCCGGCACTAAATTTCACACAAATTGAAATATTGACGGAGACACAGCACTGCATCCCACAGAAATTGCAATATTGGCCCAGCCCCATCACTAAATCTTGTACAAATTAGAATTTTGGGCCATCATCGTCACTAAATCCAGCACAAATTGAAATATTGGCCCAGCCCTGGCCCTAAATCCAACACAAATTGCATTATTGGCCCAGCCTCGTCATTAAACGACGCACAAATTGCAATAGCACAAATTCCAATATTTAAAAGAGAATATATGTATTTTATCATTATACAGTCTTTAAGCAGTGATATTTAGAATCAAAAATATACTGTAAAATGACTAATTTTCACTGGGTTTAAATTTCGCTGATTTAATATTTCAGGCATATTCAGTGGGTTTTATATTTGTGGTTTTATTATTTAGATAATGCGTTCTATGCTAAATTTTACATATTCACTTTTCCTGTCAGCGAAATAAGGAAAATTTAAAACTCAGTGAATAATTAATCCTTACAGTATGTCCTACATTGTAGATACATGTTGTATGTACACTTAATGTTTGTTTCCTTGATATAGCATGTGTGCATGACTGACAGCGATGCCTATTTTTTTTTCCTTTCATGTGTTTTTTATGCTTTACTCTCATTAGTAACTACATGTACTGCCACCCTTTTACCAAAAGTATAATTGTATTGAATAGATAGAGATTTTGGCCTCATGGCTACATGTACCAACATTTGCAAAAACCAAAATACAAATGCAGAGTACATTTATGATTGAAATCACGAATAACCACTCTACTATGCCTTAGACTTTTTACATTTAATTAATTCCAGTGTTGAACTTCGGGTGTATCATAGAGCGAGTACATTCAAGTTCATGCATCTCCTAACAAGAATTGTGCCACTTGAATACACCAACCATTCTCTGGTACAAACATAATATGTACATTTTTGTAAGTTGTCAAAATGGTTGTAATGGTGAGGACAGGATACAGAGAGTATTAAATATCATCTAAGTGTATTTCTGGAAATTAGGTGAAGCTAAAATTCAAATGCAGCTCTTAAATTGTTGAAAATTCCTTGATAAAATGCATCTACATTGTGTTGAGCTTTCATGTTTGTTGCGTGTTTTTGACTACATGCTGCTGTTAGAATTCAGGACTGCTTCTCTCGATATTTAGTATCCAGACAGTTTTGTGAGAAAAGCAATGCAGACTCGAGCAGGGAAATGAGGACCATATAAATAATGATGCCACAGTCACATCAGTCTGGTAAAATTTTGTTTCAAAATAAAGTCAGATTAATGATTAGTGGCTGGGCTTGATCTACGAGGCTTGACTGTAAGGGCATTCTTGCAAAAAACATAATGGCAGATGCATGTCCCAGGAAAATATAACAGAGGAGAGATCAGATGTTTATATGTGTGAATAATTTAGTGAAACAACTAAACTAAGACTAATTTAATTGTATCTATGAATAAATTTGGGCTAACATAACATTTTTTTTTTATATTTCTAATCTGGGATTCTCTGGTGAATAATTTTGAATGACAAAGCTAGTACCAAAATAGTGTGAATTGACACATATGATTGGATGGCACAACAATGTTTTGATTTGCGTCAAATATGCTATGCAGCATCAGTGATTGGCTAAAAGTCAGCTCCTTGGACCATAGCAATATTTGGCCGGAAACTGAATAAATAAATATAAACAAATAAATAAATAAATAGAAATAACCCTCAGGAAATAAAATTACTATTATTGTTCATAATAATGTTTTGTGTATGAGTAAAGATACAAGTTCATTTGAGTGCCAGATATGCTAAACATTTTAGTTCACTTGATTGTCCTAGACACAAGGGTTTCTAGCCGAGGGTATCTGATTGTCACATATGTCCTAAGTAAAAGTGTACATCATTGTTCTAGATGCCTGTCTATCTTTATTACTGATTGTCACAGGTAATAGACATTGGGGTTCCTGATTCCCACATTAATGAAGGCTGGTTTACTCTATTGTCTAAATTCAAGCAAGGTTACTCATTGGCTTCATGTATGAATGCTTGTGTACCTGATTTTCATATATGCTCTGGATTGTTTGTCATCATAGGTCCTGGATGTCAGTGTATAACTGTCACATGTCATAGATGCCTGATTGTCACTCACACTAGATCCCGGGCCAATTTACCTGATTGTCACATGTCTGAATGCCAGTATATGTACCTTATTGTCGCACAATTCTAGCTGGATGCCAGTGTACATGTTTCAAGCGAATCGACTGAGACTGTTGCCATGGAATGGTCTAAAGTAAACAAGACAAAATCATGCATACTGACATTGCTATCAACGTTAGTTATTTGTCGAAAAAAATATTGCAATAAATTCATCAATTGTCAATTCTGGTAATGTTTATGTGAGTGTATACTGCAAAGTGGCCAACGATAGGTGCAGAAAGAAATGAATGTTATCTCTGGATTCGGATTTGTGTCCAGTGTGTTGTTACTTTTTGACCTGGGGTCAGTATACGAATATACTGCCACAGTTAAAACAAGACACAATGAATATCACGTTTGCTCATTTGATAATTGTCATTATCTGATTACATTACCTTGCCTTGCTGTGAATTGTTAAATCTAGACATGGAATTGTACGATAAGGGTACAATGATATCCACATCAATGGAATTCATTTGTAACCAATATGTCATCATCGAATGTTGTAGATGCACAGAAATATAGTTTGATTGTGTACACAGAAAAGTACAGAAAAAAGTTTGTCAAAGAAAATGTATGTACTGTAAAATCTGTATTAGAAGTCACATTTTTACTTTTTGAAAAATTCAGAACCAAATATTCACCATTTCTCATATGTATAGATGCTCTAATAGAAGCCGCATTCTCTCTGTTGCATTGTATCATTATAATAGAAGCTGCAGCTTCTAATACAGATTTTACAGTAATAGATATTATAGGTACACTAGCAAAATAGTTTGAGATAAACCCAAACCTGTTCTTTCAAGGAATTACTCATTGGCATCGATCTGTAGAAACGTGCGTTTGCGAACCCTATTTTATAATAGCAATAAATCATAGTGTCCTTCTATGCCTATCACAGGACCTGCATACCCTCAAGTCACCTGACGAATTGATGTTGGTATGATTTGTTCTTATCTTGATTCTGAATTATCTCTGATTGCATTTAGTTATATAATCACTTTCTTTCTTTTATTCACAAAAGTATATGTTCAATCCTGAAACTGGAGAATGGAAAAATAGAGGCCACCAAGTCTTTCAAGACAGGAGATGGCTTGGTCATATAACCTACAGTGAGGGACGAATGCAATATTCAGATTCAATGCAATTTAAAGAAAAGGGAAGGCTACCAAACAGCTGTGAGGTAAATATGAAGGACTTCACTTGGAAGAAGTTGGGTATCTATGCAATTTTACGCACATGCACTGTTAACGCCTTTCGCATACATTATTACCAGGCATACAATAATAATTATATTTCATTTGAATTGTGTTCTTTTAAGATATAATCTATAGAATAAAACAATGCAAGTACAGCAAGCAAAGGCAGTGGTTGTTGCTTTAGGGTTGTGATCGGTAGAACTGAGTTTGAATCCTACCTTAATTCGGCTGAACAAAAAAAAAACCATCATGGACCTAGGGTGAGTGTGCCACAGACTCTATGGGTAGGCTAATTTCACTGAACAAGATTCATTCACTAACAAATGCAACTCTACAAAGAGAATCTTTGTTAAGGTTCATAGGTGCTTGTATTTGACCGAGCCTGGTTGATGCCAAGATAGTGCAATAAATTGCCATTTGATATAGAGATAGCTGCACAGCCCTGTCATGTAGTCTTAAACATGAATATGGCTTTTGTGACAGCTCTTCTGCCAATATTTGTTGATCGTATTATATTTGAAAACCATTGTTACTAAAAAAAAAAAAAAACACTACTACCTTCAATTCATTCCTAGTGCTGAAAACCAAATTAGGTCCAATTCAAATCTAAATCAAAAGGTCATATTGGTATATACTTAACACATTATTCCTTGTTTTATTCACAACGTTTCGCCCTGAACACATGGCTCCCCAGGTATACAATATGAATGAATAAATGCATTAGATAAGTATTACATCATTCTATTAATTGGCATACAGAAGACAACCAACAATTACATTCCCTAGTAAACATCTATCGTTACATTTTGACAACTTTTCACTTTGTAAGTACAGTGACTTTTGTGTAGGTAAATGAATTACTAATTTTCATACTGAACCCAAGATGCACTTTTCGATGAAATATATTTATGATAATAAAAATGCACTGAAGTACATGTATCTTGTGCTAGCTTTAATGATGTACGTGCATATCCACAACAACTCAACCCTCAGAGCACCCATTAATAAGAATAAAGAAGAAAGGATTCCTATTGATTCCTATGAATTGCTTTAGGGTATGGAGGCAGTGTCACGTTTTAAACCAATTCAAATAGAATAAACGTGAGCAAAACAGTTAATACTTTTATTAGTAGACTTAGTTACAAAATCTTTGATAGAGACTGCATGTTATCTTTCAACATTCAATAAACATCTAGTGAGTATGCTGAATACTTTCATTTTGCAAAAAAAAAAAAAAAAACATTTTT